GGTTCTATTTATTTAGCATAAGGTTTGAAAGCAATTTCTAATTTTGAAGGTTAAATTCTTTAGTTATAGTAGTTTATTTCCTATTTATTTCCAGATTAATATTTGTATCTTCATTTCAATTTTCTTATTTCCTTATTCTCCTTTTGAATGCTGGAGAATGTTGCACCATGACTTGCCTCATATTAGGATTACAGTGATCTTTTGGGCTTTTTACATGGTGATGAAACCAGTTTGGCTATTTTAATTGGATATGTTCATCTTAACTTATGGATTTTGTTTGAGTTTAAGAGGGTTCAACACTTTCTATGAGCTTTTTGTATGAGAAGGTTTTGAAAGATGGGATTTTGAGAAAGAACTGTTGTTCTCTTGGATTTTTATTTTTTTTTATTAGCAAATCAATCAGAAACTACAACAAGAATGCTTTGCCTCAATTTTTAGCAATATGCATCTACCAGCAAATAAAGAATATGTAAAGAAGTTGATGTAAAACAGGAAGCAAAGGTGAGGATAGAATTAGAAACAGAGGTGAGGGTGAGAAGAGAATAGTAGGATTAGCGATTTCTAGAAGATAATTTTAGTTCATAAACACTTCACTTGAATAACCCTAATACAACCTATGCTTAAATATAAAAACTAAAAACCCAAATTAGACTTACTTCCTAATTAGATTCCCAATTGAATCTTTATTGAAAGATAATAACAGGTCCTAATAAATATAAGCTACTAGTAATATTTCCATTTAATTCCTATATATTCATAAGCATAATAAAATCCTAATAAATATATTATTTCCTTCCTTATCTGCATTAGAAGTAGCAGAGATTAGGGAATGTATATGAGGAGATCTTTGATTATCTTTGCTATTTACTTTAGAATAGTGTTTTTTTTTTTTGGTGATATTTTCTTTTAGGATTGTACTTAAGAATGATGACTTAGCTTCAGAAAATAGAAACACCTTTGAGGATCCTTTGTTATGTGTTTCTCCATGGGTTCCTCCCATTTGAAGTTGAGTCAAAGTGATACATTTAGAAGGTAAGATTGCATATTTTATTTTTATTTTACATATTTCCTCTGATGCTGACTAATGTATAGTGCAAATTGGAATTTCATTTAAAATTGTTCCATGGTGGATGAGGAAGGCTTATCTGAGCTTCCAATCTGCCCCCTTGTAAAAACAGGAGCTGAAATCTTATAACTGTGGTTAGTATTATCATGGTAAGTATTATCACCGGTAGTCCTAGGCAATGTTAATCATGGGAGATTATAATGGGTACATTATAAAATTTAAAACATATATACGATGTTCCCTTTATATTAAGTGGTACTGGACATGACATTTTAGCCGAGTTGACCAAGTGGTGCAAACTTCCAAGTGTTGTTGTTCCTATTTTTATGGTTAAAAGCTCTTCAAGCATAATAGAGTTGTGGGTGCCATATTATGGCAGACTTGATGGTAGTGACAAAAGTGGAGAACCCAATCTAGGTCATGGGAAACAAGTTTCTGACACACACTTTAGAATTTCATAGCAATATATTGAGTAGTTCATTTCTACTGATAGAAAATTGTATTAGCATAGAAATTACTAATCGATTAGTAAGGTTGGCACCATTTTTCCAATCCATTAATAATATATACTCCTATAAATCTCGAAATTTTGGCAAGTGGGAATATTTTTTTGACCTTGATATTACTTGAGTCTTACCTATGATATTACCATGGAGACCTAATTGAATGGAATAATCATAAAAAAATTTAATTGAGGCTCACAATTCATTATAAGTCTAATAGGAAATATGGCTGCTAATTGTTATTTTGATCTAACTGAATTTAAATTTTTTAGTCATAGAAAGAAAAGAAATAGCTTTGTGGTCGTTTTTGTTTTGTAAAGGTCTAAAGAATTGTCATTATCATAAATCTTTTAAGTTTGAAGTATTGTATGCTATGTTGATTTTATGAAATCTTGATTGGTATATATGTGTATTCAAGGTATGTTTTCTTTCCCAAAAAAAGGTTTTTCTTTTTCTTTTTTATTTGTCAATTCATATTATTTTTTGTTTCAGATCTGAAAATGATGAACAAAAGGAAATAAAGATAGATATTTATATATGTATATATATTTGTCTTTTATGTACTACTACCATATATATATATATATATATATATATATTATGAGGAGGGATCCATTCACATATAAGTCTTATGCATCACACTTATACAAAATCTCAATAATAGTTGAGATTTATCACGACTTTTTAGGTAAAAAAGATAATTATCTTTAATAAATGTGAATAGATCTCAACTATTAATAGTGGAGGATGAATGGTTGATATTTGTATAAGTGTGGTGTGTAAAACTTGTGTGTAAGTGGATTCTCACTAATATATTATATGTATGTATGTATACCTTTTTCCGATTTTAACTCATTAGAAAGGTGTAATGGATTCAACCCAAAGCTAGGGTTCAAAAATTGCTCAGTTACAAGTAATAAGATGTGGGATTTAATGGATTCAATTTCAATTTTGATTTGATTTCTCTTTGTATTATTTGATGTTTTCTTATATATTTATGTTATGTCTGATAAACGTGAATTTTCTAGCTTCAATTACAAATTCCTTAGCAATTTATGGGAAAAATACCCATATCTTGTGAAGTTAGGGGGATCTAGGCTCCATATTATAGCGGTGGCAGATTCTATTTGCTACTAAGCCTCTTTGTTTTAAATTTTAACAGAGTAGCTATGGATAGAGGAGTACCCACCATGTTTACATCTCATATGAGATCTGTCTTTGAATATTTAAAAATTAACTATATAGTTGATCTTATATGGCAGATTTTTGTTTGGTACATGTTTCATGAACAAGGTAAGTTGGAATATGGAGGAGGACAACAAAACCAATATTGGAGTTTGATGAAGATAAAAAGAAAAAGAAGAAACAGAAATTTCAGAAAATAATATTAGAAAGGGACATCAAGATTGATGGTCAACTTTGAAAGTTTCCTAAAAATTCAAAAAGACGTAAATATCTTATTTATGCTTAAAATAAGCTGGCTCATGAATTGAGAGCACTAGTTTTTTTAATAACCATCTTTATTCTCTATGTTCAAACCAACAAATGCAAAGTAGATTTTTTTTCTTTTATCGATTATTGTTTTTATTTTCATCTTCAATTAGACTAGAAAAAATGGTCTTTGGTACAGTAGTACCTCTGTTACTAACTAATGAGTTTTGCTTTTAACAATGCAGCCCCTCTTTAGCATTTATGAATTCATAGGACTTATGGCATATATGACTTTCTAAAAGATGTCTTTATCTTCTCTCTCCTTCCTGTCATGTTTTGGGTTGGTAATTGGTTTTTTCATCTCTTCTTTTATAGTCATGCTATGGTTAAGTTATAATTACCAACTTGCTATCCTATAATGGACCTTACGTTCCTGTACTCACTTTCAAGCTCAATCCTTAGAAGTCCAGGTAGCAAACATATCTGTTCTCTTTTACTATGATTACAGTGTTACACTAGTTGTCAATTGAAGTTTTTTGCATTCTTTCACGCGTCAATTTCTGATGCTAGGTTCAAAGACATTTCAAGGGATACCTTACATGCCGTCCTCAAGTCCATTTATTTTCCCATTCAATTACTTTGTACAAATTTTATGATTTTATTGATAATTAATATTGTGTTATGGGGAAAGGAAAATATTGATAAAGGTTGAAAGATGGCCTAGTGCCATTACAATTATGTTTCGTTTATTGTGGCATATGCATCTTTATATTTTTATTACCATTAGAAGATCACCTTGAGCATTTGAGGAAAGCCTTTGAACAAATGAGACATTATGGGCTAAAAATGAATCCTTTGAAGTGTGCTTTGGTGGTTTTGCGAGAAATTTCTTTGGATTTCTGTAGCATGAAAAAGGTTTGGAAGTTGACAAAAATAAAGCTTGTGCAGTGATAGAAGTGCAGCTACCTAGAAATAAGAATGATTTGTAGAAATTTCCTAAACATGTGAATTTTCTAAGGTGTTTCATTTCTAACTTGGTTAGTAGAACTAGGGTTTTTTCTCCTTAGCTTAAACTTCATTAGAGGCAGATTTCAAGTAGGAAAAGCAACATCAAGTGGCTTTTGAAGAAATTAAGCGACACCTCTCAAAATTGGGAGTTCTGGTTTCACTTGATAGAAATAAACCTTTGATCTTGTATATTTTTGTAGGAAAAGAATCCATTGAATGTCCATTGGTTCAAGAAAATAATAAAAAGCAAAAACAGCCCTACCCTTCGCACACAAGTCTGTTTACTTTTTAAAGCTCAATATTCTTACAAGCATGTCCTAGTTTTAGCTTAGTCTACCTAGCAATTCCTTAGTTCAAGTTTATTTGTAGTAAGTCATCTTTGAATTTGCAGTCTAGTGCAAGTAGAACAACAATCCCGAGAGAATTCCTTTCGTTGTTAGTTTAATTTTGGTTAGATTAGTCTTGGTGATGTTCATCTCATTTTGTTGTTTGCTTTTACCTAAATTCTTAAATATTCAGTAATTGATTTAAATTCAAACATGGTTGCAATGTTAATTGAACTGAAGCCTTTTTACATTTTTATTGCCATTTATGGTTTGATTGATCATGAGTATATTGCATTTTATATATTTTTTCCAATTTCATATTTCTAATTATAATTTACATTTTAACTTAGTTTAATTTATTTCACTTTTATTTATTAATTTTTAATACTTGTTCTTATCTTATTCACTCTCAAACATTTTAGTTTAATTTTTTTTTTTTGTACTTGTTTGTTATAACCAAAGTTTTTGACATGTTTCTAAGGTAAATTTGAGCTAATTGTGCAAGAATTAATCCTTCATTTTTGTCCTTTTTTGTTTGATTAAAGCATATTTCATTTTAAACACCATTCTTTCAATGGCCCTTTTTTATAGTAAAAAACCAAGTGAAAGGAAAGGGTCATTGGCAAACCTTTATTTGGCTTTTTCGTGTAAAAGAAGGTGACATGTCTTCGTTTCAATTTTTACTGCAAGTTTTGATTGATAGGATTTTAAGGATAACAATAAGTGGGACATTTTTAGTATGTTGCCATAAGCTTAATTTGAAATTGAACTAATTCAAATTTGATCTCTCCCATCTGTCTATGTGTTTAGTGTTGAAACTAATCATGACTCTAAACTCTCTATAGAACACTTCTTATTCCTGTTTGGGCAGTTTTACGAACCTACATTATAGAGATCTTCAACTGCTTCTACTTGAAATATCCAAGGATGTTCCCTCAGGGAAAACATTTCAATACTCAAGTCAACAATATTTTACTCTTAAAGGCATGAGCTCTCAAGAATAAGAATAATAAGAGAGAGAAGCATAATGGAGTTAATGTCTTTACATGAGGGTAGATGAAGGTATTTATAGCCTCCATTAATGATAGGATGCGCCACGTGCAAGCACTCGATTACTCCAAGTGTCAACATTCACACGAGTGTATCCATGTTTGGATTCAACTTTCGTGGGTTGCAGATGTAAGTGGGCCAACTGAGCTGAACCCACTATGGGTGTTGGGCTTGTTCCTCAACATTACTCCCTTCTCAGTGTTTAATTAATGAATTGTGGCAATTATAATGGTAGCTCAACAACCATCTTCAATTATAATGGCAGCTCAACAACCATCTTCAGGGACCTAGTTTATGGACAAGCTCATCGCGATTATCAACTTTTTTGGCACCCCTCGGGTTTTATGCAAGCTTGCCTTCAAACTTGACAAGCTGAACCAGAACGGTGATGTCCTAGAGCAGGCACATGTATCCAATAATTTTTGTAGGATCTAGGCAAGCTAAAGTGTGAGCAACGGTAGCTCAGTGTTATGTCTCTTCTCCAACAAGTTCATCCAGTAAAATTTTCATAATTTGAAAACCAACCCCTTAAGGAAATACGGCTTTTGAATGAATTCATTTTGGTCGAGCTCAAACAAGTGAATTTTCAACATTCAAAACGAATAGTTGATGAAGCGCGGATTAAGAACAAGCTTATATAGAACGAGCTTACACGTGATTTTTCAAAATTCAAAACAAATTTTGATAAGTTGCAAATCATGAACAAGTTGATATAGAACGAGATGACACATTTTTTCAAAATTCAAAACAAAACAAAACAAATCCCTGAGAAGATGCAATTCAGAACGGTTGATATCCCTATACTCCTCTGCAATAAATGTTGGTTCAACATTTGAAGAGACGAGATAGCTAAAGTCGATGAGTATTAGGCACCCTGCTCTGAATAGTTTCCACGTGTGAAAACTACCCTCCGACAAATCTTGCAATTCCAATGGTACCATCATTACAATGGGTTCCACAAAAACAATGCCTTCTTTTTCTTCCACCCCTTGGTTACCTTGAAGCTCTTTAAGTTCCCTAAAAAATTCTATTTTTACTTGAATTTCTTAACTTTGCTGCGAAACTCGAATACTCTTGCTATAAAGAATGATAGAGAACAATAAAGGAGGAAGATAGCCAAAATGACAAAAGGGTCATTTCCATTTCCTTTTTCTTTGCCAATTTATGCACCCTCGATTCTCATACTCGTATCTCTGACATAGCCAATTAAGTTTTGGTAGAATACCCAAATCTACCTCCAAAATATACTAACAGAGACGAATCCACCCCCAAAAAAGGGGGACAAATCCATCTACAAAGTTTTCAACTTTGACAAATTACCTCAAATTTAACGTGTGATATCATTTGACGTTAGCAATTTGTTAATTTGATGTCATCTAACTTCAGCAATCTCTTATTAGTGACATAACAAAGTAACAGATTGTTGATGTCAAATGATGTCACATGTTAAATTTGGGATGACTTCTCCAAGTCGAAAACTTTATGAATGAATTTGTCTCGGTTTTTGTTCGGGGATGGATCCGTCATTGCCACTATACTTTAGGGGTGGATTTGGGTATTTTCCCTTACTAGAGTTTATCACACCAGAAAGTAGAACCAATTTAAGCACAGATGGGGGGTCTAGTAATCACCATTCTTCTCTTTCTTCTAAAAGTCAATCTTCTAAAGCGATGCCTAGTGATGATGGGGGCGTAAGGGCAGGAAACGACGCCCCAACCATGACAAGTATAGAAGAAAGTAGGTCATGGATGCATGCGAGAATAAGCCCATCATTGGGAAATTGGGCAACATTCATAAGGCACTGCAAGATTTACCGACCAAATTCAAATTTAGGGCGACACTCCATCATGACGTGGTGGACAACGTGGCCACCGTAAAGGGATTCAAAAAATTAGGGGAGATAGTGAAACGATTTCAAATCCCTAAGATAATATTAGTTTGGGTTAGCATTAGAAATGAAAGGGCATGTTCAGTGTCAGGAACTAGATGGATACTAGTATACATGGATCATTTTGATGTCGGCTTATGGTTTCCTTTGCCTGGACTAATTTTTGACGTACTTGCAGAGTACGAGTTGGCACTGACGCAACTAACACCAAATAGCATAAAGTTTATCATAGGGTTCATGTTATTATGTGCACAATTGGGAATACCTGCAAAGGTTGTGGTGTTCAGGTTACTTTTTCAGTACAGGTTGAGTATTAACCAAATGAGGTGGTACTAAATTTCTGGGAGGGAGAAGATGATGCTTTTTACCAATGTGAAGAATAAGGTTGCTAGATGGAAGAGACAATTCATTTTTGTTCATGATATACGAACGAAGAGAGTGAATAACAAATTGGCTACCTACATCTTTGAGTGGCGGACAGCCCAAACTTATATGAACTATCCCACGCTAGTGCCATGTGATGTGGATTTAAAGAACGCGCTGTTAGATTATGTGAAGGAGAAAAGATTGGTGGATCTGGAGGCCTTAGTTACCCTTGAGCAATTAGCGACGTTTGGGTTTGTGGATACCGCAAACTTATATGCTGAAGGTATATTTCTTTTATAAATTTCAATTATTAATCGTGTTGACTCTTATTACATTCATTTGTGCAGGAAAAATGAGTAAAATGTTGGAAAGGCAACATGAATAGACACAACGGTCAAGAAGCAAGCAAACGGATTCTAGCTCGCATAGGTAGACTCGTTTTGACAAGCGACCATCAGATCCACCTTGGAGGTTGTCTCACAAGGAGTGAGGCTCCAGCTCAGCATCAAGGGTGCGTGCCGAGCAAAAAGTTGAAACATTACTCTCAGACTCTCGTAGGCATGCACGCGAAGCTATGGATCCTAATGATGATGTACCACCTCTTGTGCGGTAGCAGTCTAACTTTAGAGTTCAGTCCGTTATTACGCGTTCCTTTAACGTGCCTTCTACACTGGGAAGAAATGGTGCTGAAGCTGGGTCAACACAAACATAGGTGTTCGGTCCTAAGATTGCATACCTTGAAGGTTTCAATTATACGAGGTCGGAATGTCACACTGCAATGTTGCAGGGTATGCATAACTCCATCCCTCCTATGGATTGGCAACACACCAAAGGCTACATGCAACAAAATGATGGCCATGTCGCACATGCTAAAATTGATGGATGTAAGTATTGTAAATGATTGTTTGTGCTGAATATCTTATATATTTACATTAAAAGATAACAACATGACCTGGGTGGCAAGCTTTTAGTTACGCGGTGGCACTATTCGAGAGTGAGCAGGGGGCACGAGATCAAATGCGCGAGCTTGCAGAAAGCTGTAAATAGCTTACTTTTGAGAAGGCCAGCTTAAAGAAGGAAGTGAACGGTCTGTAGAGCTTTGAAATGGCTAACAAAGCTGCATCTGCTAAGAGTCGAGCAGAGGGGTTGGTTGATAAAGTGAACGAGTTGAAAGAAGAGCTTGAAAAGGCTCAAGCTGAAAGAGAGAGGGAGAGAGCGAAATCTCAACTGCCAAACGAGAGGTGGAGCGTGTTGAAGAGCGCGCAATGAAGGCTGAGGCAGAAAGGGATAATGCTATAAACGAGCTAACTCCCTGAGATCGCAAGTGGCCAAGGCTGATCAGGAACTTGGGCATGTGCAAATGGCGATGAATGAAATGAAAACGTCATTTTGACATTCGATTGACATTGCTTGTGCCTAGGGGGCTCAATGGCTAGTTGACTCAAACGCGTTTTAGGATGCTATGGGTATTGCATCGATGACCACAATGATGTAAGTGAGCCTATTGAGTTGAACCCATTATGAATGTTGGGCTTGCTCCCTAACAATTCCTTCTTCCTTTTTCTCTATCGTCGTGTTTCATATTTCGTCATTATCTTTCTCACCATGAAATTGTAAGAAAGAAAGAACTGAGTGAGATATATTAATGTTATCTTTCGTAACTTACTTAAATCAATCATGGACAAGTTGTTTTATTTTTTTGTCTTGCATCATTCTTCCTTCTAGTTCTAATTGATTATCAAAATTTTTCTCCCACATTGTCTTTTCTAGATATCTATACAAACACGACAATCATTTTTCTCACTTTGGTAATCATTTTTGGTCTTGATATTTTAAAATAAAGTTGATATCACCACATCTTCTACTTTTTAAATGTTATAATGATGGCTTACGAGTGTGATGGCGAGGCTTAATATGATTGTTCAAGTCATTAGTATCTAATTTAATATCAAGATTAGGGATGGAGCCAACGAAGGACAAGGGAGGGCAGTTGCCACCCTAAGCTTTTGAAAAACATTTAATATGGTACTCTAACTTTCATTTGTTAAAAATTTTGTTTTTATAGTATGAATTTTAAGGACCATTTTAAATGAAAAGAAAATATTTAGGATCTAAATAAAATTTTTTCAAAAATAGGGATATAATTCAAGTAAAATGAATTTATGGTAATTAATTAATTAAGAATTAGGGTTTTTAAATATTTTTTCATCTATTAAACCCCCACAAAAACTTTAATTATCTATTTAAACAACTTTAAATTTATAGTTTTCTTTAGTATTCTTTTATTTTTTTTCTTAATATTCTATATAAAAATTTAAAGTGTTTTCCTGTTGACATAGACATTCTTACCTTCTATGATTGAATTTATAATCTTTTATTTTTGTTAAATCAATCTAAATTAGAGTTCATTTCTAAAAGAAATATTTTAGTATTTTTTCATAAAATTAGTGTTTATCAATATGATTTCCAAAAAAATTTAGAGGAAAATACCTCAAACTTTATTGCTTCAATAAAATCAAAACACTCTCTGATTCCAACTTTAAGAATATGTTATTTTTATCTTTTTTAATTCAAGTTTATTAAAACAATTTAATTTTGTGTTTTTCTTCATAATTTGTTAATGATTTAACTAACTAACAAACACATTTCTCTTTCTTCTTTTTTTTTTCAATTGATTCTTGTATAATTTATTACTATAATATTTCATTTTTTATCATAATTAAAAAATACAGTTATTCTTAGTATTTGTTAAGAATATATCAATGAAAAAGATCACAAACAAATCTTTTTATAAGAAAAAAAAATTTAAGGAAACGAATTAGTGTCATATAAAATACCCTTAAGAACTCAGATCTTCAACAACAAATTTCGCCCACCTAACCAAATTTTATGGCTCCGTCCCTGATAAAGATATGCATAGAGCTATACAAAATATATGCATCAAAATCAACTTTAATTAGTTATAAAATGTTGCCAAATAATTTAGTATCAAACATAATATTAAGATATGCATATAACCATACAAAGTATAGACATCCAAACCACTTCAATTAATTATAAAAAATTACTAAATAACTTATTTTTCTTTTTTAATAATAACTTTCTAACTTCTATATGTATCATTTTTTCAATTTAAATTAATATTTCTTTAATTAAATAACTTCAATTCAATAAACAAACAACATCACCCGGTTTAGGGTTAGTCGAACTAGTTTTATTTAAACCATAAGAATGGGGCTGCACAGCAGCATCCCCTCACCCGCGTGGGTTCTGCAGTAGCACCCCGCAATTATAGTGAAGTGTTTCTTCTTCTTCTCCATTTTTTTT